TGGGCTCGGTCTGAGGAAACCGTTCGCAGTGTCCTGCAGGGCTGGCCTGGGTAGGCTGACGGAAACCACTCTTGTTTTTAATTTTTAAATGTTTAGTTTGAAAAAATTTCGGAGTTCCAGAGCAATTGTAAGAAAATGCTTGTGTGTATTTCTTCACCTAGATTCACCAGTTACATTTACTCACCTTCGCTTCGCTCCCTTTTCTCTCCACATGACGTAGGTGCATAGAAATGTTTGCTGGTAATGATTTTTGTTGAACCATTTGAGAGTGATGCCCCTCCACTCCTAAATGTTTTGGTCCATATCTTTTAAGAACAGGAATATTTCCTGATCATATGACTTCATCACAACGATCACATTTAGAAAACCTGATACTGATCCCATCGAATACATAGTCCACTCGCAAATGCTGCCCGTTAAGCCAGCAGCGCCCGAGGCCGTGGCAGTTCCCAGCGGCCACTCGTGTGGTTCGGGTCAACCGCCTTTGGCAAGAATGCCATCAACGAGATGCTGGCTTTTTGTTTTTGGGTTTAATCCTCACCTGAGGATGTTTTCCACTGACTTCCTTTAGAGGGGGAAGGAGGGAGGGAGGGAGGGGGGGGGAGATTTGAGAGAGAGACACTGATGTGAGAGGGACACATTGATTGGTGCCTCCCACACACGCCCCAGGACTAGTGACTGAAACTGCAACCCAGGAACATGCCCTGGACCCAGAACCGAACTGGCAACCCTTTGGTGCTCGGGCCAACGCTGTAACCACTGAGCCACCGGCCAGGGCCTGGGTGGGTTGGTTTGTTTCATTTCATCCCCTCAGGAGACACGATGACAGTGAAACGTTTTCTTAACAACTTGGGTTCCTGGAGTATTTAATGACACGTGCGGGAAACTCACTCTCCAGCGCTGCCGTCTTCCGCAGGCTGCGCCCCGTGGTCTGCGGGCTCTGCCCTCCCCTGCTGCTCACTGGCCTGCAGGCTCCTCCCCGCCACCCCTCAGGGCTCCGCTCGAACCCGCCTCCCAGTGAGGTCTTCCTTCCCCTGAAACGCCCTCCCTGCCACGGCGAGGCCCTACCCGGCTCTGGGCTCACTGCTCTGTGCAGCGCAGCCTCCATTGCACACCTACCCCGATTACTTACTTATTTTGTCTCCCAGGCTGCTCTGTGCTGCAGGTCTGAGGCCAGGCCTCTGTCTGTCCTGCGCAGACTCTCGGAACCAGAGTGAACGAGCCAGTGCGAGTTACATGGCTTCTGTGGCCGTGAGGATGGGGACTCGCCTCCTGTTTCCTCGTTGCTCGTGTGTCAAGTGGGGACAGCAGTGGTGCCCGCTTCCTGGGGCGGCGAGGCCTGGAGGAGAGAGGCCCAGACCCAAGTGCTGGGAAGCCAGGCCCCCAGCCCAGCGCCCACATGGAGGCCGGGTGGGCGGGCGCACTGAGGTCCCTAATCAGAGTCCAGAGAGACTGCCCAGCAGCCCTTCCTCGACCACTTAACTAAATAGAAAGTGAGAAAGTCTTGCGATGAGATGATAAACCTCGACCGTGTGGCTCTTGGCTGAGTCTCTCATAATCGTAACCAGGAATGTAGGGAGACCGCAACACTTTTCCCTTAAGGAAGCATGTATTTCCCTTAGGAGACATTTAGTTGTATTATTACATCACATTGTGAAATATTTTAATTGTTTTCATGGCAACATCTCCCTCTCCATTCCCACTCCTTCCCTGGATGTGTTTTGAGCAGCTGTATGAGACCCTGGGTTCCACGGCCTTCCTCTCACACGGTTACAGGGTGGTTAGTGCGCAACACACTGGGGCTAAGGCACGCTGGCGACTGAAGAAGTGAATTCTTTTCAAGCAGCTCAGAGGCAGAGCGGGATGAGTGTGGGTCAGATGAGTGGGGGGCGGGGGGGGGCTTCAGATCCCTGCCCACAGGAGGGGCCTTGTCCTCAAGTTCACTTTGGACCCTAAATTCCGGTTTTGGCTGTGATTCCGAGGAAACCCCACAGGACACACTGGAGGCTGCAAACAAACCGGGGGGCGGCAGCCCCTGCGGGTCAGCTGAAGGGCTGCGGCCACACGCCACTTCCCAGGAGGAATCGACTGGCTGCACGGCGGCCAGGCAAGCTCTTCTCTTCCTCACAGTGAGTGGTGGCCTGCGGGGCTCAGGAGAGAGCCTGGGGCAGGGGCGCTGGACCCGCTGGAAGGAGCCCGACCTGCAGAACTCACTGTAGGGCCGGCTGAGCCAGTTTCAGCACCACACCTTGCCCACTGCAGTGTGACAGGCACAGAGGACACCGTTAGGGGAACAGAACCCTGTGCGGACTCGTTTCCTCCCGAGTTTCTTCCCCCCTTTCCAGAGCCAATCCCGCCCCCGCCCCACACACACACCCGGGCATCCTTGGCCAGTTCCCTGTGAATGGGGACAGCAGGTACTCTTGTGTTTGGCCTCATTTGCTCCACATCTGATGAGATGGTATTGTTTGTAGCTGATCATTTTCATGGCCGGATGAGATTTCATTGTCTGACTATATGATAGTTTATTCATCCATTCTGCCATTGCGGAGGCTGGGTTGCGTCCGGGTTTTCTGTGTAATGCTTCTGTGAGCCTTTTGTACGTGCTACGTGAGTCATTTCTGGGAGTTAACTGAGGTAGATTTGGGAATTTAAGCAATTAGGTAATTAATTAAACAGCTTCATTAAGCCCTTGTTATGTTCCAAGACATATGCAAGATTTTGTGAGGGAAAAAGATGAAACAGATGTGGATTCTATCCTTAAGAATCTCCCCGATTGTTAGAGGAAGAGTCATGTAAAACAAGGAGAGACAGAAAATGCTGAGGGTTGCTCAGAGGCAAGCTGTGCTTGGAGAAGAAAGACCTGAGAAAATGGAGCTTCCTGTTGGTGCAGACCCTGGGGAAGGGGCCTTGCAGGATGAAGAGGAGTTCGGGAGGAGGGAGCAGGACAGTGCAAGCCGGGGAGCAGCCTGGACAGAGTGGGGCGCACGCGGTGACTGGCACCCGCAAGGCGCCGCCCTCCTATTCTTGGAGAGACGGTGTGAGTGACAGGATGCAGGTGACGGCTGGAGGTCTGGGCCGCCCTGGGAGAG